TTTGAATAAGTTTTCAGTATCTGATGTTTTCATGTCAGAGGACTATCAAGCTTGACGCCCGTGCATGTTGGAGTATTGAAGCGTGGAACAGCATCATTGTTTAATTAGAGTAGGAATTTATCTTCCTTTTTAAACAGCAAGAATAGTTGCTACAGGTCTGTTCTTGAGACCACATTAGATGACCCAGTTAATGACACTGTTTAGGTTTGCCTGAAATTTTGATTTGGCAGGTTCAGTGGACTTAAATGTGTACCATATTATTTAATGTAGGAATTTATCTTCCTTTTTAAACAGCAAGAATAGTTGCTACAGGTCTGTTCTTGAGACCACATTAGATGACCCAGTTAATGACACTGTTTAGGTTTGCCTGAAATTTTGATTTAGCAGGTTCAGTGGACTTAGATGTGTACCATATTATTTAATGTTATCTGCGCTGAGAGACTGGGAGACGTATCTGTGTAGAGTTTGTGGTAGGTCGGTAATGTAGATCAGGAACAGGGGTGGAGACAGTACACTGCTCTGTGGGACTCCTGTTGTCAACTTGTTCCTAGGACTGGACTGTGCACTAAATCTAGTTTCTCGGATACTCGCCTGTGGGATAGGAAGTCTTTTTATCCATTAGTACATTTTGCCTTTTATTCCACATCGTAAAAGCTTCAAGTCATCCTTCTGAACGTTGTCAAAGTATTGGTAATGAATTGCCATACTTCTATACATTGTCAAAGTATCGTTATTAAATTTTAATCCTTCTATACGCCCGGCTCTCTAGCGTAGTTAACTAAACCGGATTGCGCGGAGACGGGGTGACGAACTCCTTGTGGTCTGGGTTCACTCCCGGGGGCAGACAGAAAAGCCACATTTCTCCAAGATTTACGGTATTTACAATGGAATCAAGGCCGAAAGGTTGCGATATCCATAATACCGAGCCTAAGGGTTAACAACTCATGGCTTCTGGATACTAAAACAAACAAACAACATCCTTCTATACGTTGTCAAAGTATTGTTATTAAATTTTCATCCTTCTATACGTTGTCAAAGTATTGGTAGTGAATTTCCATACTTCTATACGTTGTCACAGTATTGTTATTAAATTTTCATCCATCTATACGTTGTCAAAGTATTGTTATTAAATTTTCATCCATCTATACGTTGTCAAAATATTTGTCGTGAGCCCATGTGTGTATATACACTTTATTAGTGAGTGTGTAGGTTTGAACCCTAACTGTGCCCACCCACGTGAGAAACTGGAATATCTGTCTAGAGCTAGGCTATGTTGATCCTAGACAGTCCTGGATAGCCAAGAAAACAGCGAGTGGCTCGTTCCATTAAATGAAAGTTGTTGTACTTGTATCCACAGGAGTAGGAAAAGGGATAGATAGATATCAAGATGAACCCAATGAGTTAATATCAAGATACACAGTTAACCCCTTCGACTTTCTCCTCTCCTGGCATTTATAACAAAAACCCCCATCAAGTGATTTACATATATGTGAGCTGAAGTAAACTAGTATGCACAAAGACATTTGAACCTAAGTACACAATTTACTCAACGATTTTATAACAACATGAACAAGATTTATTGAATAAATCTAACCAAATATAAAATGAACGTGTTTAGGCTATTAGAGTGAAGATTGTGTTTTTGATGAAGTTAGTTCATATACGTATCACATATAATTGGAGAAAATCAACCTTGGACAGTTCTCGGTTTAGACCCTGCCTATTCTTTTCCAGTTTGTCGTCCTCACTGCTTCAAGCAGGTCGTTACACTCAGACGGTCGGCAGAGAATGGATGCCTACTAGTTTCTGCCCAATGTGGGAACTGTAGTAAAGAAACAAGCGCACATGTGTAGTATCTAGTCTAGACGTACATCAAACATGTCTATTATTATAACACTAAACATGTCTATTCTAATAAAACATTTCATCTCTCCCTTATTTTCACATTCACTCCTGTCCAGTCTGGAAGGACTTATGTCTCACATTGAAACCGTTACATTTCCTGCCTTCCTCTACTCACGTCATGTAATGATAGTTAAGTCTTCTATGTCTGATGTCATCTCTCGAACAGACTTAAAATGACAATCAGTTAGACAGAACACGTTCTAGAATTGATGTCTTGGAACAATGGACTCGCCCAGAATGCTGACAATATTTCTGGGGTGATCAAATAACAAATCTCAGGAATTTACTCTCCGGGATAAATCTTCGCAATAGCCTGCCGGGAGTTAAACACATGTCAGTGTGTTAGCTGTATGTAATACAGATTCAAATTAACTGAACGTGAAAAGACTGCTACAATTATCTTCACGCTTGTGATTTTAGAAAAATGATAGTTCATTAAATTTCAATGGTAACATCAACATTTAAGTTATGCAACATTGAAACACATGTGCACGAAAAAACATCCATGACACTATCAATTAGGATATAAAGCAATATGACAGTGCCCTAAGAGAATGGAGAAATGTCTGCTAAGGAGTACTAAAACGTGATGAAGACACACACTTGAGCAAAAAGACAGTTAGATTTCTATCGCGAAATGAAGATTTGTACATAGTTTCGCTTACCTGGAAAATGAAAACACAATGCCAAAAGTTCTGTCTCAAGCTTAGGGTTTAAGCCGAACAGATGGTGTGCTAATGGCAGAGTCTCATTTACCAGTTATAGAATCCACACTTTTATAACTTCTTCTAAGCTCCTCCTACATTACTCCTAAAACCACTCTCATTCAAGCACTTAACATCTGGGGAAAAGTTTCAGTGTTTGATATCACCAGCAGTCCAGAAGAATTATACAGGTTTGTTCTAGTAGTCGACTTTGATTTAGGATATATCAAATCTCTATTTTTCTGTATACTTTAAAATACATAGAAGTAGGTTGAGGAAAGACATATTCTGGAGTCACCGAGCGTGTCGTCACAGTATTTGTAATGAATTTTCATCCTTCTATACGTTGTCAAAGTATTATTATTAAATTTTCATCCTTCTATGTGTTGTCCAAGTATTGTTATTAAATTTTCATCCTTCTATACGTTGCCAAAGTATAAGTAATGAATTTTCATCCTTCTATACGTTGTCAAAGTATTGTTATTAAATTTTTATCCCTCTATACGTTGTCAAAGTATTGTTATTAAATTGTCATCCTTATATACGTTGTCAAAGTATTGGTAATGAATTTCCATACTTCTATACGTTGTCAAATGATTGTTATTAAATTTTCATCCTTCTATACGTTGTCAAAGTTTTAGTAATGAATTTCCATACTTCTAAACGTTGTCAAAGTATTGGTAATGAATTTCCATACGTCTATACGTTGTCAAAGTATTGTTATTAAATTTTCATCCTTCTATACGTTGTCAAGGTATTAGTAATGAATTTCCATACTTCTATACGTTGTCAAAGTATTGTTATTAAATTTTACTCTTCTATACGTTGTCAAAGTATTGGTAATGAATTTCCATACTTCTATACGTTGTCAAGGTATTGTTATTAAAGTTTCATCCTTCTATACGTTGTTAAAGTATTGTTATTGAATTTGCATCCTTCTATACGTTGTCAAAGTATTGTTAATGGATTTTTATTCTTCTATACGTTGTCAAAGTATTGGTAATGGATTTTCATCTTTCTACACGTTGTCAAAGTATTTTATTCAGTTTTCATCCTTCTATACGTTGTCAAAGTATTGTTAATGGATTTTCATTCTTTTATATGTTGTCAAAGTATTGTAAATGAATTTAAGATCTTGTAAATTTAAACAATAAACTTACAGGATTGATTCACTGTCTCGAACAGAAGGATATATTTGCAGGCTTCAGACCCTATATCCTGGGTGCACAGGATAGGAGCCACCGAGGTCTAGCATCTAGAATCTAGATTCTCGCCTGCGGATCGAAAGGTCGTGGGTTCGGTTCCTTACGAGAGCCGGATTTAAAAAAAGAAAATACCTTGGCTCCCAGGTCGACCAAGCCTTGGGTGGATACCAGCTACACTCCTGGGAAGTAAAATCGGCCGGCGTAATGCTGAACACATCGCCCTCCAAGTGCCGTTTGGTCTATAAACTATAGGTTTAGCCCTGCACACCCAATACGCCTGAAAGTCGTGGAAAAGGGTACTTTACTTAGTTACTGCACAGGATAGACTGCTAACTCCATATGGCGTATAAACGGCGCCAGGAGCGACTCATCCTCAGGGCTTAGGCCTCAAACAGCATACTAAAAGGCTAAGCTGCCCCCCTCTTTTTCCAACTTCGTATAGAGGTTCGTCTTTTACGTTTTGTTTTTATTTGCTATTTGCTTCTTCAAATATTAATTGAAAGTTGGCATCACCTAACTTTGGCACAATTTGAATCTCAATCTGATTAATTTGGCCGGATTATAGCCTACTCTTGAATTATTTCTTAATCTATAAATGCTTTATGTTATAACATTTATTTACTATTCAGCATAATTTTGTATTATTATTATTTAGCATTTAAACAAGGATTGAGCCTCCAATTTCTTTATAAACGGTCTAACACCCCCCCCCCCCAATCCCCTTTAAATATTTTCTTTGTGTGCCCGCCCCCAAAACTATTGTACTGGAAGCGACGTTTAGTGAAGGACTTGTGCCATGATAGTGTGGCCTAATCTTTTCCCTGGTGTGACCGTCTTACTGCGGTCCGAAAGCTACGAGAACTTTATTATTTTATTTCAAATGAGCCGTCCACCTCGGAAATCCAACCTTGGGCTTAGGAATTAATCTACAGGTCTCAGGTTACCTCTTCTTTGATCACCTGACTCGGTAGCTAAACGGAAGTCAGGCACCTGTGCCCAGTAGAGGTTTCGTCTCATTCCGTGACTGTCCGTAAGGAGGAAGTACAGACCTTGGTCTTCCACTGACAACGACCGGACCAAGTTTCACGATGATTTTATCGTTTTAGCCTGGCGTTCTATGATAATATTCACGCAACATATGTAGTATTTTCGCAGTCGTATTACCAGAAGACTAGTGTCTAGAATAATGGCGGCTTTAATACGGTTTTTTAGCAAACGTCGTACACGGAGGGGGGAGCTGAAGCATGATAAAGAAGACGGTAGAGGGACAATAAACTACAGTAAACAGGGCTCCGTGAAGAAGAAAAATTTGCTAACATGCACGATAATGTTGCTGGATGGAACCGATATAACTGTAGATATTAATGTGAGTAGCTAGCGAGAACTTTGAAATCATTCGTTAATAGTGTGTTCATTGTGTTATACTTCGGCTGTGTGCGTCATCATCGAATATATAAATATTAGAACACACTTCTTTCTCCAGTTAAAATTTCCCCAGTACACAGTATCAGTAACACACTGAACTTTTAATTTATAATAATAAACTTGACAGAGAGAGAATTCGTTTAGTAAACGGTTTACTAATAATTAATACATTTTAATAATAAAATTAAGTACATAGGCCTAAATGTAAACATGAAACGTAGTCTCCCCACTATTATTATGAATGAGTCATCCTCCATCCTGTGTGATAATAAAAAGTTAACTGTTTAACAGATTATCCTAACTGTTTAGTCTAAAAAGGCTCTGGTTTTCTCTTGAATGTTGAACTAAGAATCAACATTATAGCACTCGGGACACTTCCATAAGTGCTCCGGTTCCGACATTGAGAGGGAATGGATGACGGTTGAAAACTTGGCTTCTGTTGATCGTTCCGTTTCTTCTTCAGTTTTGATTTTGCAAGATTGTGAAAGTCCGCTTTGCAGTCGGAGCTACTGAGTTTAGTGCTCCTGGTGTCACTATAAGCTGTGATAATCGGTTATTGACATAGTTCTAGATTCGTACATAATGGCAATGATGGGTGATGTATTTTTGCCTCGTTGTGTTCCTGGGACAAGGCGTGTGCTTTAGCTGCTATTTATTTGCTGGCCATGGCTGCAACTTGGCCAAGGACATGTGGAGAATGGTCAGGAATAGTTTTAATCTACTCATTGCCTGGCTGTTTTTCAAATAAAGTTGATTTTTAGCGATGACCTGGTCTTGCAGTGTGTTTAAGGAGGCATTTACTTGAAGTATCTAGTGTATCTGACTCAGTTTGTGACTGGAATCACTGGCATAGGCAGTTGAGCAATTATGGGCCATGCTCGTTTGCTGTGCCAGAACTGTAACGACTAACTAATTAACTAACTAGCTCCATCCCTATCTTCAGCAGCAAGTGAATAGTTCCAATTCTGATGGCACCAATAACTGTCTGATTGGGCTATCCTCACGCGGCGTGGATTGGGGCTAAACTAGATGGCTAGGACTCAGAGCAAAGCTGCAGGAGATGCGGAAGCTGCTGCTCGTGAGTCCTAGCCATCTAGTTTAGCCCCAATCCACGCGGCGTGGGGGCCACATAGCGGTAGCGGTTGCTGGCGGAAAACCGCAGGAAGACAACAAATTAAGTAGCCGGAAGCGCACAATGACCCGTGACCGCGGCTCGGCCATTTGCCGACCGTTAGTCGAAGGATAGCCTCTGATTGTATGTCTATCTCACCCTTCTCTTAAGTGTTGAGCATCGGCTGGTTTCCTCTTTTGTATATATAATATTTCATATCATGTACTAATGATGTCAGTTCTGTGTTGATTTCTGTTCTATCGTGGACTATCTCCCAGTCCTAAACTCTTTCATTACCACATTTTTTCTGGGGTTTGGACAGCATTAATTTTGAGTGCAGTTTTTTTTTACTGCAACACGACAAAGCCAAAAACATCTGGACGAAAAAGTATTGGCTGGATCAGGACATATCATGTATCAAATTAAAGATAACTGAGCGCAGAATACTATTTAAATGTCAGTATTACCACAAAATATTTTTTTAATGACACAACATTCAAGAAGTCACATACAAAGATTAATGACATAAATATTTTTGGGCTTACCTTACTTTTTGTCTTGTTGAACAACATTGCTTTCCAAATCTAAGAATGCACATGCCTTCTCTGTTCAATTATGCATCAGCTAGTCTTTATTTGAAACAATTAATTTTAATACTTTGGGTGTTAGGATCATTTTTTTTTTATGACATCAAATTTCACAACCGAAAATCAGTAAAAAAGCTGAACAAAACATTGATCCGATTGAAATATTTTGTTCAATTTTTATATCCTAAACTAAATTATTGCTAATAGGTTTGTCAGATTTAAATAATAATTTCGAGACCCTTGTCGCCATCTGGCAGAGATTCATCAACGACACAGCAATATGAACAGTTCTAGACCTTTTCTCTTATCATTTAGTATAAAAAAAAATGTAAAAATTGTATCCCATCTAAATAATTTTTTTAAAATCAGAAAATAATGCACCAACTATGATGAACTTCGCAAATGAAAGAACTTCTTGTTATTAATCCTAATTGTTCAAAAACTTTTTAATGAAAGTTCGTTTCCCCACAAAAGGAACAACATTAGAGTGTCTCGATCATACGCCAATATACTGGCGATTCATCCATTATGGTTAAATTTATTTACTAGTATTCTGGCGATACATCTTTAAAGAGTTAAGAAAGAGAACAGGGGCTTTCGAGCTGAAATGCTATAGAAAGATTTTCAGAATATCTTGGACAAAGAAGAGGAGAAATACTGACATCTTGAAAGATCTGAACTTCAAGAAACATTGGCTAATAAACAACAGCCTGTCTCGGAAGCTGAATTATTTTGGTCATATCAAGCGCCATAACATATTGGAAAAAATAATAGCAGAAAGCATGGTACCAGGAAGGAGGAGCAGGGTCTGACCAACATGAAGATGAGCACAGGGTATAAGTGACTCCTTGAGTATGGAAGTACATGGGGTGGGAGAGCTGGCAAGAGACTGAATTTCTTTCAGGCAGACTGTGATGCTCGTGAAAGGACCTGCTACATGATGATGATAATCTGTATTGATTTACTATTTTTTTCCTACAGCCTCCTGTCCAGGCTATTGCTACTGTTTTTCATCGTCTAACCTTAGCCTTATCATCATTTGAATTTCACTGGGCGATCACCGATCAAGGTGTCTGAGTCTAGACCTGATTATTTTTTTTCTGTTATTGCTTTTAAAAGTAAGAAAAGGGTGTTTGTGGTTTACGTGTAGGCTGTGATATCTGCACCTTTTTGGCCTAATACATCAGAGTGAAACAAATATTTAGTCGCTGCTTGCAACATGCTTGTTAAGATGCAATGTGAAAAGGACAATTTTCCACACCTTTGGGGCGTATTGGGTATTAAGTGCTAGACCTATATTTTGTAGAGCAATCAGCACTCGGTGGGTACCAGGACTTTACCTGGTATCATTTTAAAGCTTGGCTGAGTCAAGGTAATATTTGAAGGACACATTTGACTCGATGCAAATTTAAATCCACAACCTTTAGGTCTGAAGCATACGTCTAGCCGCTACACCATGATGGCTTTCTTAAGTTTCAAGGAGTCTTTTTTTTTCCTATAACAAAATGAGACTGCAAAACCTATATGGGAAACTTGATTCATTTAATCACTCTGCCTATCTGATGGCATTCAGCTGATATAAATCTACCTGATCTGTTTGCTCATCAATTTTTTGTAATACTCCCAACCAGTAAATCCTGTCAGCATGTTTGTTTTCTTTTACACCTGCAATTTGTATGCCCTGGCACAGAAAGAATTTCAGCTGATATTTTTAGAGACTCCGGCAACTGCCTTTTAGGATTTAACCAGCCTATAAAATGACTACAGGGTAATTTTCCAAACTGACCTAAGATTGTTTCAGAAGTGGTGATTATATCTGAAGTAATTATGATTGTGATGGGATTTTCTCTGTAGGAGTGGTGATTGGAAAAAGTTTTATCTGAAGGGATTGTCTCCAAAGACGTGATCATTGAGAAGGAATTATCTCTGAAGGAGTGAGATTGACAAGGGATTGTCTCTGAAGAAATTTCCTGAAGGAGTGTTGATTGACACAGGATTGTCTCTGAAGAAGTAGTGATTGGGAAGGGATTTTCTCAGAAAGATGGGAAGGACTAGGAGTGGTAATTGAGAAGAGATTGTCTCTGAAGGATTAATAACTGACAAGATATTGTTTCTGAAGTTGTAGTGATTGGGTAGGGATTATCTCTGTAGGAGTAATGATTGACAAGGTATTGTGTCTAAAGTAGTAGGGATTGGAAAGGGATTGTCTCTGAAGGAACGATGATTGACAAGAGATTGTTTCTAGAGTAGTAGTTATTGGGAACGGAACTTGTACACCATGGCCTAGAACAGTGTTTCCTGTCTGATGGTCATTCTAGCCACAGCACCATACAAATTTTCAATATTTATTAGTGTCTCAAAATTTGCATTTATGATCCCTCTTTTCTTTATCTAAACATGCAGATAGGATACAGTAAGTTAAACTTGTCTGACAGTAGTATGTAAAAGGAAAAACAGTCCCCGCCCCTCCCCATCAGTGGCACTTTGGACAAATAATGCTAGACTCAGATATTTATTCAGTGCTCAGTAATTTGTGGTCAACATGTTGCTGGCCATTTTTAACTTCTCAGACTTGGGTCCTGTTTTTGTTAACCTATAGAGTTCTGTGATGAGCACATCCTAGGTAAATCTGGACCTGATAATTCTCTAAAAATTTTCGTCTTCTTCTTTCTTCACCAGCTGTAAGCTCCAATGGAAAGTCTAGGTTGTTTGTCCACTGGGACTTTGGCTTTGTGCCAGGGCCTGAGTTTCGCATGTACATACATTTTACTGGCTCATTCTGTGCAGTTGATTGTTGCTTGCCCCTCCGGCAGATGCACTCCTACTTCGTAGGAAGTCCCTAATTGTCGACTACTATAACATTCTTGCTGGTAAAGCAGTGGGTCTATTCCTGTTTTCCCCACAATGGGGCCCTGAAAAATACACCAGGAATTTATGTGCAGTCCTAATACTTTACACCCAATCTGCAGCCTGTACAATCACTGGATTTATGTAACAGCTAAAATAAAACTGTCATTACTGCCTGTATTTATCACTCTTTAGGGCAGCAGTTGACGGATGTGGAAAAGGGGAGGGGGGGGGGGGGTTGAGCCATATGGCTAGTGCAGTCTCCATGGACTGTGAAGCTTAGGATTTTATTTTTGTCCCTTACAGAATTTCATCTCCTTACTGAGGATTTAAACCTGGGTCTTCCAATAAGAGCTCTGTGTTCTAAAAGTTATCAGAGTTGATCATGACCCATTATGAAACTGGTTTACAACCGATTAAATGAAGTCATGGTGAAATCCCATCTAAAAAGAAAACCGCACACGAGAGCAAGGACTTCACCAGTCAGTATGCTTCCGTAACTATATACATATAAGAATATAGATATATTTCTCTGTTTATTTCAGTATTAGTAAGGATATTTGAAAGAAAAAACTTCTGTAAACTCAGAAAATTTAATTTTGAAAAAGGCGGTCAATTTCTTGAGGCCTCAGAGATATTATTTTACATAAAAATGCATGCAATTTGTTGAGCAACCAAAATAAGAAATTAATTTTTTTAAGAGGCAGGAACCGAAGAAAATTTATCATAAACATCAAAAATAGGCGGCCATAAAATGTTAGCACATTATGAGTAGAGACAAACTGAAACAAGTAGTGATAACTGGAAGATTTATGTAAACAGAAATAGGAAGACAGTAAGAGGAAGTTCTTGACAGATTTTTGTCATGGCACGGAAATGTGTCAGCACATGAACTGTCATATACCAGTGAATAATCAAATCAATCAGAAAGCCACCATCAAGGCCAAACCTTTGGCCAAAAGAAACACCGGTGCTAGCCAATCTTTATGGGTCACTGACTGATTTACAACAGACAGTGAAGTTCATACTAGGGACAACATTGCAGATATATATAATCTATTTCAAGTGAACAAAAGAAGAAGAATACCATAGAATATCGCAAGATGTGGAGAAGTATGGTTTCCCATGTCAGTTGACAATGATGATGATGGTGGGAAAAAAAAAAAGGTCAGTCAGTGTGTAATCAGTTATTTCAGTTATGTTTAAATATTGTGTATTCTTTTTTTGATTGTGTATTTCTAATTTCAGAAAAAGGCAGATGGTAATACTCTAATTGAACAGGTGTTTTATCATCTGGACATAATTGAAAAGGATTACTTTGGATTACAGTATACAGATCACTATAATGTAACTGTAAGTAGATACACTGAATAACTTTTGCATGCTAATTTAATGCCTATTGATGTGATTAAAAAGCCCGTAACTAAATGTTAACTTAAGCATTATTCTGTGTTGATTTGTGAAGTGCATAAAAATATTGTTACATCCTCAGTTGAAGTTATTTATTCACACTTGCTGATTAAGAAATGGGGACTTGGGGCAGAGCGACTGAGCTGTTTACCTCATATTCTAAAGCAGTATTTTTCAACCATTTGACATCTTTAACTTTTTCAGTCCCAGACAGTTGTTACTTAAACTTGTTATTTTCTAAGATGCTGTACTTGAAAGTAACTAATGTTTAGGTCTTAAGGAGTTAAACAGATGCATTATGAGACAGAAGACAGTAAACTTACAAATCAGATACATTGTGTTAAGTTAGCATTTATCTGTTATAGAAGAATACAAGAACAGGATGTTGTCTTTAGGGTAATCAAGAAACACAGGGTGAGTTGCTTAGTACCCAAAGAGTTAAAAATCTCTTTACATGCCCAGGAAAGATATAAAACCGAACGAAGAGTATATCAGTGAGCTTCACAATATAACAAACACAAGCAAAACATGAATGTTGCGGCTATGGAGCCTTCTTCAGCACATACGTAGATTAGACAACGCTACACAAAAGCACAGTGTCACTTATCATCTTGGCATCTCGTGAAAAATAGTTATATAAAAGGTATGTAAAAAAAAAATTGATATGTCCATTTTAACCAGCTGATTAGGATAGGTAACATGGAGAGAACCTGGTTTGGGCGTCCCTATGAAGTTGTCTTTAAAGTGTTCATGAAAATAATCCAATGACCTTAAGATGTTCATATAAACAATCTACAAATTTCTTTACTGTTTAACTTCTTCTTCTTTTTCTTTACGTTCACTGACTGTAAACTCTGGCGGAATGTCTTGGTTGTTGTTGTTCACTTCTGGACTTTGATCTTGTTTCAGTACTAAAGTTGCTTGAACGTCTGTTCTACAGATTTGTGTGAAGACTGTTAGTTCTTAGACTGTCAGACAGTTGCATTATGAGTTTGAAGGAAATGTCAATCCTGACCAGGCCTCTGGTTGGAGATCTGTTTACATGAATGAACGAATGAACAAACTTCATTTTCAAAGTGTTAAGAATTGGACACTAACATTCTGCCTTCCTGATCTCCCTTCTTTCCTACATCATTATATTCATACATCAAGTAATAGTAAAAATTGTCAGTAGCATCAAACTATTAAATATAGGCACTGGAATGTGCTTATTTTAACTACAGTAAACCGTAGTAAATAAATCAAGGGAAAATATGTGCTATTTCTAAAATACTTTTATCTTTTATGGGGGCATGTAATCTGTGCTCAGATAATATTCAAAGTTTCCAATTATATGTTATTGGACTTGGGGTATTTAGACAACTTAACCAGTAGACATATAATCCAACTACAGAGTCACAACAATAAATCAAGGCATAGACAGAATAATAATGTGCTTCTGGGGAAACTTAAAAAAAACACACACACAGAGTAGAATAGCAAGCAGTTATTAGAGTGACAAAACTGCTTAAGGAAATAAAAAAAAAAGTAAAATTGTTTCCTTGTGTGACTGCATGTCAGTCATCCAGGAAATTCAAAGGGATAAATGAGACATCATGGAGAGAGAACTGACCTGGAAGTTAAACTCTCAGAAAACAATCAGATCATTCCAATGGACCGACCCACTGCGGCATACAGGGAAATGAATTGACAGACTTGCAAAGAATAGAACAAAGGAGAAACAGCACACCCATGCAATATTATCACTAGAAATGAAATCACTTGGCTGTAAAACAGATGTGCATGCAAAACTGAAGTTCTAGAACAGGATTAAAGTCTAGAAGTTGACAAACAACCAGAAGTTTCCACAGGATTTTACAGCCATGAATGCAAAGAAGAAGAAGAAGGAGAAATCACTTTCAAGGGAATATACAAGGAATTGTGGAGAGAACAAACTAACAGTAATCATCCACAAGGCCCATCAACAGACAGTAAAAATCTGAACGTGATGATGGTGATGAAGCTACAGATGCTGATGAACCTTAGGTAGTGCCTAAAGAAAGTCAGTGTGGGTTGTAGGTCTGCTTCTAACAGGTACTTCCTTCAGGTTCCAATCTCACTTTTAAGCCAGTATGAGGTGCTCTTCAGAGATAAGTTAGAAGTCTGAATCAGAATGGAGGTAGTTGATGTGGTCATGGAGAAATTTGCAGATTCTGTTAGAGACATTTACAAATACTGTCCTGTGCTTCACAGAACCATGTTGATGCTGAGTTTCATTACATTACTTTAACTGCTTACTATCATTTTGTTACAGTGTATACGCAACTGTTTCAACCCAGATGTCCAGTTAGTCAGAGTTAAGAATCTAGTTTGAACACTAATTTCAAAGAAGACTTGATGACACTATTCTCATTTTGATTAAATTTTTGTAGTACAGATTGTGGGACACATTGTTGAAGGAGCTAAGGATTGTGGAGCACACTGTTGAAGGAACTGAGGCTTGTGGAGCACATTGTTGAAGATACTGAAGATTGATGGGCACATTGTTGAAGGAACTAAGGATTATGGAGCACATTGTTGAAGATTGTGGGGCACATTGTTGATAAAACTGAGGGCTATGGCAAATTATTGAAGGAACTAAGGATTATGGAGCACATTGGTAAAGGAACTAAGAATTGTAGAGCACATTGTTAAATAAACTGAGAATTGTGGAACACAGTGCTGAAGAAGCAATGATTGTGGAGTTCATTGTTGAAGGAAGTAAGAATTATGGGGCACATTGTTGATAATACTGAGGTGTGGGGCAAATTATTGAAAGAACTAAGGATTATGGAGCACATTGTTGAAGGCACTAAGGATCGTAGAACGCATTTTTAAATTAAGGATTATTGACAATTGTTAAAGATACTGAAAATTATAGAGCACATTGTTAAAGGAACTAAAGATTGTAGAGCACATTGTTAAATTAAGTAAGGATTACAGAGCATTGTTGAAGATTGTGGAGCACAGTGTTGAAGAAACTAAGGATTGTAGAGCACATTTTTCAATTAAGATTTTTGAGCATTGGAACTAAAGATTGTGGAACATATTGAGTGCCAACTGAGCTATGAGATTGTTGGTAAAGAACCGTATGCCCAGTGCACCAATAATGGGCAAAGTGACCTACACTTAGTCTCCATGATGAAATAAATGAAATGAAACAAATCTGAACTAAATTTAAGATTGTGGAACACATTGTTGAAGATTGTGTAGGGACTCACTGTTTAAGGAACTGAAGATTGCAGAATACATATTTATTCGGAACTGATAATTGTGGAACCTGTTGTTGAAGCAATCATGGAAACTAAAGATTGAATAAATTGGAGAAAGAGACATTTCCTGTGGTAGATTTTATGCACAGATCTGACGGAGAAAAAAAAGAAGAAAGGATTGAGACACTAAATACATTGTTTCACTGTATAGTCCTTGAATCCAGTTATCCCTATGTTGGTTCTGGGGCTCCTTTGTGGGGATAAAAGAAAATAGACCCTGTGCTTCACTGACAAGCATATCATAAGAGTTGACTAATTTGGGCACTTCTTTGAAATCAGAGTGCATCTTACAGAGGCAAGATACCAACATACAGATAAGCTGGATCTTTAAAATCGATGTGCATGCAAAACTCAAGTTCTGGAACAAGACTAAGGTCCAGAAGTGGATGAACTACCAGAACTTTTTACTGGATTTTACAGCCAGTGAACGCAAAGAAGAAGAAGAAAAATCTAGTCAGGCAGTCGTATAAAGCTCATTTACAAAGAAACCTTTATTACTTCGATATTACTGCGTATTAGTCTTCCTGTTTTCCTTCTTTGTTTTTTTTTCTTCTTCATATAATTGAGCAGTTCATATTAGATTTCACTTGCCACTATTTAGTTCCTCATTTAGTTTGTTTGATAAAACCTTTCTGTCTCTCTGCACCTCTTCTGGAGCTAGCAGCTTGAAGTACAGATCTTTTTTGTATATCTTCCCACATCCACAAGACCTCATCAGCTGTCTCAACAGAAAGCTACATACAATATAGGACACTGTAGGCTCAACGACCACATGCTTAAAATAAAGACCATACAATCCCCACAGTGTGCATGTCAGACGGGACCTCAATCACCTAAGCACATTCTACCTACAACTTTAAAAACAAACCTGGCCTCAAGAGCAGAGTGTGCAGAGCAAACTATGGGGAACCGTGAAGGACCTGCTGCTGACATACAATTTCTTGGAGGCAGTCCAGCTGACAGTCTGACCTAAGCATACAAAACTTTTAAACTGAACACAGAAAAAAGAAGAAGTATACCTTCCAAAGATTTAGAGGTGGAGAATTAGCCTCACCAGCTTGCTTTGTTGTAATTGGAGCTGTAAAGCTGACACATATTTTTTTTTCCATTTTTTTTTCTAGACTTTCATATCTCTTCTGCAGTCGCCTTATTTTGATGTATGCGCCTCATTGAGAGGTGCATATTTATGTTTCATAATCATTCATTTTTACCTATTTTTACCTGTTAAAAGAATCATGCATCCTTAAATTACGAATGTTACAAAATAAATATTGTGTTTTTATTTTGGTGTATTAATTATGTGCCGTCTTCATAAATGAACCGAAATTGTAATAATTATTTCAGCATTGGCTTGATCCATCAAAACAAGTGAGGAAACAAGTCAAAAGTAAGTTGATTTTTTTTGGGTACATGTTTGTGATTATTATTATCTGTTCTACGTTGTTTTTGAGAACAATTAGAATCTCATTAAATGCGAACATAGTATACATACAGCAGTTTATTAAGTTAATTATCATCTGTATAATAATAATAAAAAAGTTATTGCGTATCCTTTACATTTCATCACAAACTAACCTCGGCATTTGTTGGTGGTTTAATTTTACTGGGCAGTATGTTAGGCCCAGTTGTTTGTTATAATTCTATGTATATCTTCCTCTTCACGTTTACCAGCTTTTAACTCCAGTGGAAAGTTCTGGTTGGTAATCCACCTCTGGACTCTAGTCTTGTTCCAGAAACTGAGTGTTGCATGCATAGTCGTTTTACAGATCTTGCTTATTCGTATTTGGACTGTTGGTTCCTTGCCCTTCAGGCAGATGTACTCTGACTTTGAAGGAAGACCCCCCTCCCAGTTAGTTGACTCTATGACATGTTTTTTAGGGGGCAGTGTGTCTGTTCTTGTTTTCCTCTATTGCTCTAAACAATTTTTCATTGCGATAAAATTTTACCCATTTAAAAAAAAAAAATTTAAATTTACTGAAGTTTGACTAAGAAGATTTACAAATGCTGAGAGGGGAAAATCACACAGAGGAACAATCAAGACATTTTGGCAGTAGCCTTCATCAGCGAAAACCACAAGGGGAATAATAACCTGACCACTGGAGAGGCCTGGGAAAAGCTGTAAAATGTAGGGTGTATATAGGAAATATTGTTATACAGGTATCTTCACAGTCGCCAGCATCCCCCCCCCCCCCCCCCCCCAAGCCACCATGGTGTAGCAGCTAGATGCTCGCTTGCGAATTTGAAAGTCAAGGTTAAAAAATTTATTGTGTTGGTTTTTGTTCAGTCATGACCTTGGCTCCCAGGTCGACCCAGGTTTAAATGGGTACCTGGTAAAAGTAGCTGGTGTGATGTTGACCACATCAGTCATCGAGGGCCAATTGACCTATAACAGTATGAGTCTAGCCTGGTATGCCTTATGCATTAATAGTATGTAAAGGACCTTTACTTACTTTCTTACTTACTTCCATTAGGCTTCTTAGTCACAGTTCCCAGGAAGGCTTACCCAGTCTACAAATGTCTGCAGATATGTTGGCTGAAAGGTGTAAATATCTCAGCCATGCTGTAAACAGTCACAACTCTGTTAAATCTTTAGATGAGTGCAGAAGAAGAAGACATCACAGTTCAGTGAATTCATTTCTGATGATGCTAGCATGATTGCCATCACTTTAAAAAAAAAAAAAAATCTACGTACATCATTATCAGCCTAGTGGCACATGAGGCTTCAGAGAGGACTTTCCATACTTTCCTGTCCTGTGCAATCTTCAGTGCAGTTTTCCATGTCAAAGATGCCGCACTCAGGTGACTTTCCATCATTCTTCTTCATGTTGTTTTTGGGCGCCCCTGTTTTCTCTTTCCCTCTGGTATCCATGTGAGAGCTGTTTTGGCAGGTATATCAGGATTCATTCTCATAAAGTGGCCAAGCCATTTCCATCTTCTCTTGGTTATCATGCTGTCTAGATTTTCTTGGTTTGTGACTTGAAGTAGTTTAGTGTTTGAGATTGTATCTGGCCAGAAAATTTTGATAATTCTACGTAGACATGTGTGGTGGAAGGTGGACTGCTTGTGTACATCCTTTTTGGTCATTCTCCAGCATTCTGCTCCATAAAGAAGAACTGGCACAATGATGCTCTTGTAGTTTTGTTCCTCTGCAGTAACTGTTGGATTTCCAGATTTACCTCATCCTTCCAAAAGCAGCTCTAGCTTTGTTCAGGCGTGACTGTGCGTCTCCCTCTGTCCCTCCCAGTAGGGACACCACACTGCCAAGATATGTGAAATGTTCTACATTTTCAAGTGATTGGTTACTTACCTACATCAGAAGATAAATCTCAGATTCTGGTTGTGAAATAAGAAAAGAGGGTCTTTACAATATTACCCTAAGTAGAAAATTGAAGGTGTTGGAAGCAAACCAGGAACTACTGAATGTACTGGTCAAATGAAGATCGGCAAAATCGTTTCAAAAAGACATTTGGCTGATAGTTATTGAGGAAAGTGGTTGTTTATGCTACTCTGCTCAGCATTGCACTTGATAATGATATTTATCATTTTAAATTTATACAGTTTGTTTATTGGTACTGTTTGTATCTCTATGTAGATTTACATACTGTTCCAGTCATAATGAATTTTGTATTCAGTTGTCCCCACCATACTATGTAGATTTACATATGACCCCAATTGTTATACTTTGATTTTCCACCTGACCTATCAAATTGTGTAGAGCCACATAATACCCTAATACTTACAATGCTATTTAATCAGTTTGGTTATCGTAATGTGTAGATTTACATATTATCCTAGCTGTTAAGATACTTTCTTGTCAGTTTGCCTTTTATAATGTATATGCATGGAGTAAGGCGAGAAGGACAATGTAGAATGGGCCTGTGTGCCCAAATTCAAACCCTTTGAAAATACAGTCTGTTCTTTCATTCGTTTGATTTACACATTACCCTGGTTTGTAAGATATTTTTTCTTAAGTTTTGCCTGTGATAATATGTAGATTCACATATTACACCAATGTAACTATATATTTTTGTTTCAGTTGGCCCACCATACACATTTCGCTTTCGAGTAAAGTTTTACTCTTCTGAACCCAACAACCTGCATGAGGAATTGACACGGTGAGAATTGTGCTGCCTATGTTGTTATTGTCTGTCTGCACTGGGTTATATATCAACATGACTCATTGTTGCTAATGAATCTTGTTTAGCAGATGTAAGCCTGGGGGCAACAGGTGGTGGTGGGTTGCATAGTTTACATTGTATGTGGTGACAATTCATTTATGGCTTTCATGGGTCTCTGGTGGAGTGGTTGAGCTGTTTGCCTTGTACACTGAGTGTTGTGGGTTCAGTTTTGATTTGCCGGTGCAAATGTGGCTGAGTGGTTAGACCATTAGACTCTTTTACGGGAGACCTTGGTTCTGTCTCCGGTAAGGGATAATTTTGTTCTATGGAAAGGGGAAGGATGGGGGAACAGAAGTGAATCATGGACAGTTAGGCAGTTTGTGAAAAAAAAATTGTTTAGAAGCGGTGGAGATGTTGTTTTATAGACGAATGATAATACCCTGAACAGTTAACCCTACCAGACCTGAGGCTCTGAACCTAACTGTCCCTTATACCTGAGCTCCTGGGCATTAACACGAAAAACCAACTTGATATACACAAATATTTGTTACATGCAAACACGTGGTTAGAATAAGATAAAACTTGGAGACATGTAGAAAATAGGTTTACCTTTCATCTAATGCCAATATTCTACCATTGTGTGCCAATCAACCCAGCAGGATGATCCTTGTCTCACAAAGTGAGCACCAGATGTTGCTGTTTAAAAGACTAACCCCCTTCTCTTACTATCGATCTAGTTCTAGATCTACAAGGTTCAAAATTCTTTACTTGAACTGGGAATGTATTCTTGATGAAATTCTGACTTCTCAGAGTCTGAATCAACCAAAGTATCAATCACCTGTTGGACTGAAAAGCCTAGACCTACTTCGCTTTCCTGTCGAAGTGCTTGGTTATCAGCAGCTCATTTCATTTTGAATTTTCAGAATTTTTTCACGTTAAGCCTAACAAAGTAAATCCAAACACATGGAGGCAGCCATTTGCAATGACTAACAATGAGGTTTGACCAAGATTGGTTGGTTAATTTTAACTTGTGACATGACACATTTTTTACGTAGTACGCAAAGTACCGAAAGTACAGTGATTTAGTGGCAGATTAGGAAATTCCTTGAAAAGCGGTACAGCAGTCTGGTAAAGTTAAAAAGAGTCACGAAGAAAGAAACTGATTCACAGAGAAAACTGATTTGTACCATCAGAAGATGATCTACATTTTTTTAACATGTAATGAGAAAGAGAAAACTGGAGTAAATTGTGATGCTGGGAGAGAGGCATACAGAGAGAGAGAAAATGCTAGACAGTTTGACCTCATGGCATGGAAGATCATATGCCTCACAATTGATTAAAAGTGCATGAGACATAAGATTGTGGATAGATGTGACTACCAAAGCTATACGGCATGGACTATAAGAAGAAGGGTAGCAGAAATAAAAATCATAACCAGTGCAGTCTGTAGTGACTTTGTTAGCCATGTGGTCACATTTTATAGTGAACTAGCTGTACCCGGCAAAGTGTTGCTGTGGCATAGATTGGCTAAATGGAAAAGAAAGAAAATAGAAATCACACGTGTCTAATATGGTTAATGTCGCCATCATTGTCTGCGCAGAAATGAATATAGTCAATGATGATCCCTCCCCCCACCAAATCCACCTACTACTCGCTCCCTCATCTAAGGTTCTTGGAAAAGAAAGAAAATAGAAATTGCATGTGTCTAGAATGGTTAACTGTCGCAATCATTGTCTGCACATGGAGATAGTCTGGTTTAGAACACACAACAATTATGTGGTCGTTAAAATGGTAATATTAGTACTTTAAAAAAACTGGTTATTTGGTTATCCCATGCTAAAGCTGTTTGTATTTTAAGAGACGGGAGTAAAGCTTACAACTGTACTTGTAAATAACCAAGTAAGTTGTAAAAAAAAAATTAGGAAATGAAAACTTTAAATTCTGTGTTAACAATTTCTGTCATCACCCCCTGCCCTCCCCCATTCACCAACTGCTGCTCTCTCCCTTTCTGAAGGATTTTAAAGTCATTACCTGAAGATATTTTTTGTAACTGACTTTTTCATCCCTGTCCATCCGGATGGGGAGCAGGAATTGTAACGAGAAGTAAATGCAGCCAGTGTTATATTTACCACACCATCCTTAAGTACCAGTACAACTACTACCACCAAAATAGCTAAAAATAATGTCACTACTGTCTGTTTTAGTATCTGAGTAGACAGGGGCGCTGTGCCATGACGGCACTCAGAGTGTTGCAGTGATCTATTAATGACAGAAAGCAGAGACTTTTAAAAATTTCTTCCTGTTAAAGAATCTTAAAGGTTAAAAAAAAGAAAGTGACATTTTCAGTCATGTGCAACAGCTATTCTTTCTACACAATTAGTTCTCATCTAAAGCTCTGCCGATCAGATCGCCTGCTCATCCATAGAAAATAATTCCTTTCCTACATGTATTTATACCTTTTCTTCTCCCCCCCCCCCCCCCCCATTTTGTTTGTGTTCAGTTTTCTTTAATGAAAGCTAGTTGCTTGTGGATTTATGGCGGTCTTCTAGATGTTATTGTCTTGAAGCTAGCAAATGTCAAATTTCTTTACATTCAGTGTTGTGTTTGTTGGTTTAGTTAATCCACTAGCAGATGTGTCATTGATGCTCCAGTTGTCTTCTTCTTAGCTTTAACTGGCTGTAAACTGAGACAGAAAGTTCTGGTTGTTTGTCCACTCTCTAGACATTGGTCTTGTTCCAGAACTAGGGTTTTCGTGCACAGATTTTGTATACAATCTGTTGGCTCCTTGCCTCTCAGGCAGATGCACTCCAGCTGAGAAAGAAACACCCATAATTAGTCCCCTTTAGTGGGCAGTAGGTCTCCCCCGCCTCCAACTGCCTAAAATGGGGCCCCAGAACCCACACAGGGAGATCCTCCAAAATAATTATATATATATATATATATAAACATCTAAATAAAAACAATCACAATGTGATATTTGAATCTAAATTGTCAGTCACAAGTCCATAAACACTAACATGAGATGTTAACCAAAAGCTAAGCATAATGAAACTGTTTTAGCTGCTTGTATTTATTACTTTTTGGTGGCTCAGGATAAGGAAGAAATGGGGAAAGTTGGACCTGAATTTTTAAGTTGTCTAGATCTGACATCACAATGCTCAGGACATTCCCATAAGTGCCCCATCCTCATCTTCGGTAACCAGTGAAATGTTCTAATTTCAATGATGGCAGTTAGTCTGATTATATGTCAATCTCATCATTTCTCAGAGTGTAGAATGTCCACCAGACCCTGTGGTCAGTCCTTGCTATAGTGATTTGTTCATGCCTCCCCATTATTTACTTACTTCCAAAGAGCCTTGACCACATCTAGCTTGTCATGTATCAATTTACTGCCCAATGTAGTGGAACCAGCCATTCTGTATGCCTGTTCATTTCTCAAGACACCAGTATTACCTGGAGAAAAAATCCAAAAGATGCTAACTGTCTGGCTTGTCTGAAACAGTGCTTACCACTCTGTATAGAGCATGACTGTCTCCACCTTTCTCAGCATGTTTTGTGTGTGTTACAGTCATGACTTATGTGTGCAACTGGTCATACAAGCCAACGGAAAGATCCTGTGACTGCCTGTATCTCCATTCTCAAACTAGATGTTGTGGTATTATATGCTAGGCTTTATTGCACTAAGTATTCTCACATTTACTTTTACACTGAACTCTCATGCACTTCTTCTGCCTCTCAGGAAAGAGCCATCTATATAGATAATCATATCACCTTTTGCTGGAATTGTCCTGAATCAGTTCTTGAATTTATGATTCTTCAGTGCCCGCTTGTCACGCTGAACTCCTTGCCCAGTGTGATTAGAACCCTACACAAGTCTGTTTTTTGCTATGACACTTTGACCCACTCCTCTCCTCTCACAACTTTTTTAAGCACACACACAATCTCTGATTGTATCTTCTGCTTGTGCCCTCACAGGCTTTCCTCTTATCAGCCTGTAACCTCCAGCTTACTGAAGGATGTTTTTTTAATTTTTTTAAATCTACGACCACTCTGAGGTATGATCTCTCTTGCAGCAAATTGAGCTTGTCTGCAGTAATCTGCAGCGTGAGGATGCATTGCCTACAGACTACTGGGGTATCTCTCGTGCGTTCAAGAATCACCTGCTTCATTCAGTATGCAAGCAAGCTTCACCAGCTGACTATTTGAGCAGTCCTGCTTCTAGTCTATCACCGAGATGATTAAATGCTGATACATTGTGAACAGCATTCTTTGCTCCATCCATTGTTGCCATAATGTTCAGTGCATTTTGCCTGTTTTGCAATTTTGCTACCTCTCTCTTTTTATATGGTCCCTGAATGGCAGATTCTATCAAATGTGATACCCAGCTAGCTCAGTTTTCTTTCTATTTTGATGTTTCTGTCATTAATTTTGAGGCTAGGGAAATCAGCTCTAACAGTTGAGTTGTCCAGAGAGCACCATAATATAGACACATTTTCTGTGTTGATGGCAGCACTCATCTCCGTACACTAGACAGTCACTTTATCCGCTGTTGTCTGTAGCTCTTGAGCTGTCTTTTGCTTTTCTCCCTCCTGCCCATGTGCAAGAACATCATCTGCAAATGTTATTATCCGTCCCACACCATGTGCTTCAAGTTTTGCAGTCTTGCTTATATAAATATTGAAGAACACTGGTAAAAATTGTAGGTTTCTGTGGTAGTCCCTGGGGTCACAGTGAACAGCACTGAAACCCAAGCACCCAGAAAAAGGGCAACCTTATAAAGAGTACATCACAGCTGCTATCCAAGTAACTAGCCATGGGCAAACCCACTTCTCTATAAGTGCAGACATCTTCTTCTTCTTCTTCTTCTTCTCTTCCACCTTTTACCTCATCAAAGTGTCAGGGGGAGATGTAATGTAGTGCAGACATCAAAACATCATATCTGACTCTGTTGTAGGCATCATCAAGACTAAGTGCTGCCACTACCATCACCTATTTATTCTGGAACCCCTCATAAACATTAAATGTGAAGGTGCAGCACAATTAAACATTAAATATCAAATAGCTGGTGCATTCACTAAAAAACTTGCATTGTGATAAACATAAGCTTTTTATTTTAGCCTAGGCAGAAAGAAAAATGCCTTAACACCTTATTGACAATTCAGACCCATGTCTTGCAAGTGAGAGCCCGGTGTTCTAACCAAAACAATGGAGACAGTGATGTCCCCTGAAATTAATCAGATGAATATAAATGCTAGCTAAATCACGAAAAAATATATTAATAAAATATAAATATAAGCTACATAGACACATAAAGGATTTAAAATATAAGAACCGTAATTACATGCGTAATATTCAGTAATGAGATTAATGACTTTTATTACCTGCTGCGGTCACATTTTCTCGTTATAATGGATTGGTTAAACATATTTAGCTTGTTTTTTAATGCACTTAATACCTTGGATATCTAATTTGAGCTAGAATTATTTAGGGTCATCTTGCCCAGTTTTACATTTAAATTATGTAAATTTTGTGGTAATGCCGCATTTGAGTGTCAGCAAGTCTGTTTTTATTTGGCTGTAAACCTCTTCAGTTACCAGTGACACTTCACATGAAAGAGACAGGCAGAAGCTGTAGCCGCCATATTGTTAATAGGAAATTTTTTTCTGTGTTCCAAATACATGGAAGTTTTCCATAACACTTGCATTTAGAAGCTGCTTTGTTAATTATATGTTTCGTGATGTTTTGGCTGTCACAAGATAGTGCACCACAAAGAGCCTTGTCACTTTGATACAATGATAGCAGAGCAAGAGGTCACCCATGCAAGCAGTTGATCGCTAGAATACCTGAGACTGTAAATACCAGCTTCTGCCTAGCACACTACTTAGAAGTTCATACCATATGCCTCTTAAAAATCTGATGCTGAAAGGCAGAACATGCACTAGAGAAAAGAAGATGTTGACATCTGTGACTTAAGGATTATGAATTAAGTTTCATAGTTTTGACATAACAGTTTTGATTCCGCTGCAGGTGATTTGGCAGCAGACCCCACACTGCTTTGATTTCGACAATGGTAAGAGCCTTGAATCATTCAGAAAGTGGTGGCAAACTTCTGAAACTTAAATATTTTTAATAAAACCACAAATAACCATTATTCCTGGAATATATTAATGTAAAGGATATGCAGCTAACTATTTTTCATATTAAAATTAGAAATGAAGTTTAAAGAACGGACCAACATCATTGCACACAGGTAGTGACCCATAAGTGCTCTGTTCTTCTAACTCAAGTCTACATCAGAAGAAGCTGAGCACAGTGCACAGACTCTGTAGCATGGGTGAGGATCCAGAAATACTTTGGGATGATTTTTAAAACTCCATATTTTGCCTGTGCAGCGCCAATAGGCTACAGTTTCCAACTGTCAAAGGATTTTTTACGTACGCAACAATGCACACCAGGGTCCGATCTCACTACTCAGAGAGCATGGGGAATTACTAGAAGTCCGAGTCCACATGAAAAAATCCTAGACCTTACCGGGGATTGAATCTGGAAGCTCCAGCACTCGAGGTAGTACCATGCCTCGAGACTACGCAGCCCCCTTATTAAAATTATATATTACCTAGTATAATAAATGGAATCAACATTTCACGTTTGATTGACATTTGATGTTATTATTCAGGCATCAGTTTTTCCTTTGATGTTGTTATTCAGGTATCAGTTTTTCCTTTGATGTTGTTAATCAGGTATTAGTTTTTCCTTTGATGTTGTTATTCAGGTATCAGTTTTTCCTGCAACTGAAGCAGGATATCTACACTGGCAGATTGCCCTGTCCTTACGAAACTCTTATAGAACTATGTGCTCTAGCTTTACAATGTAAGTTTTTATGCTTAATTTTAAGAGTATACAGAGTGTTTATTGTACATTTGGTCAGATTATATGTTATTATCAGCAGGCAGATAGACTGGCTCTCTGTACCACTTGGTGGTGAATTTATGTATGACAAGTTAGATAGTGTGAGGGCCTTTTGGTAATGGGTGAACAGTGCGGAGGTACAGATAGATCATTACGGTCTAAGGAGAATGGCGCTGCAAGGAGTTGCCAGGGGATAAGGCTGACACTCAATGCTCAGAGAAAGGTTGAGATGGAAATACAATCAGACGTTTACTGGTACCATCAGAATTGGAACTCTTCGCTTGCTGCTGAAGATGGGGGACTGGGTGCTTTGATGTTGATTCCTAATTCAACATTTAGCATAAATTATATGTGTAAATCAGGGCTATTCACTGTTGTGTCAGTGATATTTCTTTACTGTGGCTCAGGCATCTGGCCCATGAGATCTCCATTTTCCAACATTTTGGCTTCTTGGCAAACTTAGTTGAATGCTGCTGTACATCATCATCATAAACAAGATGAAAACACTGTTATAGGACATCTACAGTGGCTGATCATCATCCTGTCTTCATGATACTTTTATAGATCTATATGTAAGATTTTGTGCCTGATTTAATTAAACTCACATGTAAATGGGGTGTTTATCATGCAGCCTACATTATACTGGTTGGCAGGTCTTGCTAGTCACACTCATCGTCTTCATGGGCTGTGAGTCCTCTGCTTTTTATAGCGCAGTATATCACTATCATCTGGAAAGACAGAAAAGTGCCAATGAATCGGTTATATTAATCTGACAGTATTACTTGTTTCTAACAGATAGGTCTGTGCAAAAATGAGACTAGCACTGTATGCCCATAGTGTCAGTTTTACATCTCTTTTTTTTTACTTGGACATGTTAATACATTCCGCTCTGTGGCTAAGTTGATGCGAAGACTTCGTAATGCTGGGATGCCAGGTTCGATCCCAGCTGTGGGCCATGCGCCTTGCATTGGTTTCGACAGTGGTATCAGGGGGCCGGCTGCCCAGAAAGCAATGGCAAACTACTGGACGTAAATTTGCCTAGAGAAACCACACAACAGCCAGGGGCTGCTGAGGTTGGTTCTCTAACGTCCTGTAAAAGGATACGCAACTAACAACAAAAAAAGTTAATACAGTAGTGTAATAATTTGTTAATAAATTTATATTAAAGAAGTCAACTTTAACCAAAGGTAAATTACAGAGAAGACAAAAGAACACCCCTCCCCTCGAACACAGCATATTCGCCTCTGTTTAAAGGATAAATGCAGAAGAAAAAAAAAATCTTAAACTTACACAATATATTTTTTAGATTATTTATAATTTTGTTGTTTACTTAAATATTGTTCTCATTGGTACCTGTCTGTCCAGCTGAACTTGGTGACTATGACCCCGAAGTCCATACCCCAGGCACAGTTTCTGAGTTCAGATTTGTACCCAACCAGACAGAGGATATGGAGATTGATATATTTGAAAAATACAAGGATTGTGGGTAAGTAACCTATTCTGCATCACATGTTATGCTTTGTTTTTAGTTTTCTTTTTAATGTGTTTGGTTGGTATTGTCTGTGAAAACTCTGAAGTGCAGAGTTAGTAGAGCTCGGATCTCAAGAATCACACTCTGATAAATGCTGATCTTCTTCTTCTTCTTTCATTCGCTTGAAATAAATTATCCATATCTGCAATGTTGGTAATCTCTAGTATGAACTTCACTGTCTTTTTTAATTCACTCAGCGACACGTTTGACTTGCACCGATTTTTCTCTTGGGCAAAAGTTTTACCTTGATATGTTGAATTTGGGTCATTATTAAAGGACATGATCTGTTGTCTCAGGTGCCAATCCACATGGGCAGATGGCTGATTCGCTGATTTTAAATTTTGTGTACCTGTGGCTGTGAAGTCGATTGTGACCTGTTCTAAGGCATAGAATAATAACTTGCTCTGGTCTGTCCATAGAATGGTAATCGACCTGTGCCGGTTTTGGTTGCTTTCTGATTGATTTGATAATTATATTCTTTTGCTGAAAAGAGACTGGCACGTCAGGTTGTTCTTCATTTACACCTTCCTCAGCTAGTTTATCAGCTCTTTTGTTTTTAGAAACTCCACAGTGGGATGGTATCCATTGCATAGTTACCTTACACTGACAACCTAGTTAGGAGAGTCGTGTCCGCATATATGGTATAAATGCTGATAAAGCTAGAAAAGTGAAGTCTAGCAATTGTGTACAGTCATTGTGTATATAACTCCTCCAGTGCATTGTTTGTCTTGGTTGATTCTGACAAAGTTAAGACAATGAACCTTTTTTCTATTATTTTTAAAGAAAAAGGAAAATGGTGTATTGAGCACTTGAAGCAGGATTTATCTTTTATGGACTAATCAACACTTGAATGGTACACATCTGAGGCTAGAAGCCAAGGCCTGGTAGTGATGGTGCTTTGCTGAGAAAAAATATAAAATATCGTTACATCCAACCAGCGTCCCCGAAGGTGGAGCTTTAGGTTAAAATTGTGACTAAATTATGTGCACCATATACAATGGCTTAGCATTGCACACCACCAAGAGTCCTGAAAAGCACTCCTGCAGTGTCGATGCGATCAAAGGAGACAGACCCAAATACTATCCCGACCGGCCTCAAAGTCGTCTACCCAGGTCGCCAAAGGGCGACCCGGTCTCTGATGAGCAGGGCCCCACTTTTAAGGGAAAAAACACTACCTGCCCCTCTAACAAGCTTGTCAGGAAATGTGGCACATTAGTTTTTCCTTTGGGGTCAGAATATATATGTATACATATATGGTTTTTGCCTTCAGGGGTTGGGTGTGTGCAATTGTTGGCAGTATGGTCACCTGTTTTTCTACAGCAAAGCCAAGCTCTGATGTAAGATTGTTAGTGAATTCTGAATACATGAATCCAAATCTTTTCAGGGGTCAGACTCCAGCACATGCAGAACTGCAGTTCTTACACAAAGCCAAGTGGCTGGAGATGTACGGAGTGGATATGCATACAGTTATGGTAAGTGTTTGACACTTTATCGATGTTTATTCAGGTGAGAGCCATGGTGGTTTAATGGTTAGTTTGCTTGCCTTATGAGCAGTAATCAAGGTTTAATTCTTAGCAAATACCTGAGGAGAATGTTGAGCATACAATTGGAGGAATTCAAGAGAGGTATAGAAATGAGAAATGTCTGGGCAGCCAGTGCTAACAACAGTTTTTAGACTGAGAAGATGACTTTTTCACAGCAGAACATCTGGGAGGAAGGCGTGAGGAAGACCAAGAAAGAGATGGATAAATTGTGAAACTGAAACCTGCAAAAAAAAAAAACGAACAAATCCATCAGACAGGCCACTCGGGAAGCACAAAAAGACACAAGGCTTCAGCCTAGTATCAGTAAGTTGACATAATTAGAAGAAGTAGCTGGTGCTATTGGACACATCCTGAGAAAAAACAAGCAGGGTAACACCAAGCAAGCACTAAAATGGGAAATAAAAGGATTGAGGACTTGAGGAAAACCCTGAAAAGAACATTGATGACAGAAGCCTGGAGTGCTGGACTGAATTACATCCATGAAGTCAAGGATTGCACAGGATAGAACAGAATGGAGGAATAGACTGTGAGCCCTTTGTGACATAATGGCACATCAAGATATTGATGATGAAAGATATGATTATTTTCAGTAGGCTGTGGGTCTACCCGTTCTCATGAAAGATATACCAGATCATTTATAGAACAATTTGGGAATTTGTCTAATAAGGAGAAGTGGTGAGAAAGAGATCCGGTCATCCACCTCATTATGCTGAGGTCTAGCTTATAATGTTGACTGCATGCCAAAGTTATCTATGTGTAATTAGGACATTTTTCACCCAAGTGGATTTTTAGAACTTTATTTCTTTTTCATTTGTCCCTGAACAATAGGCCATATGCACACAAATATGTCAAAATGAAGCAGTACTTTTCACACAGCTACACAATTTTGTTTAGAGATCTTAATTTTCAAAGTCAAATGGTGGCCCATGAACAGTATAATTTTCAGAAACTCAAATACTCTGGCCCAACCATTTATTACAGGGATTTATTTAGGGAGTCTCTGACACACTGGTTAAGCTGTTTGCCTGATATTCTCAAGGTTGTTGGTTCAGTTCCAGACTGCTTTTCAGTTCACAAGTGTAGGCATTTCACAAATCACTGCGGATCATTTCAGGTGCTACAAAAAGTTTTGATTTCTTAGCTGCCTTTTGAGTCATGAGGGATAAAACCTATAGAAATGAAATGAAGTTGATGATCCTGCCTTTAAATGCCGTTAGGAGCTTACAAAAACTGTGAATCATCAAAGAACGCCCCCCCCCCCCCAAAATAAAATTAAAAACCAGTAACCAATTACTGCTTGTATTTACCACTTTTGCGATGTAGGCAGGAGGGTATTTAAGCCTGACGATTTAGAGCCACATGGCTAGTTCTGTCAGCAGGTTATGTTATAATATTTTAACCCTCTGGAGACGAGGCGGACGAAATATCAGCCCAATACAAAGTAGCCAGAAGAACAGCTGGGCCGATTGGTCGGACCTGTGTTATAAAAGCCTCGATATTGGCTGGCAAGTTTTCGCACCAGCCACTCAGACTGTTTCTCGCATTTCTTGCACATGTGGGCTGTTCATTGATGGCTTTCAAGAAAATTTGATGTGTGTTCTGTAATTTTACATCGATTTTTTTCTGGGGTTACCTGTGTCAAAAAAATGGCGACAAGGACTGTTGCATCATTCATAGCAACTGAAACATGGCTGGAGGCAGGAAAATGAGTAGAACCATGTGCCAGGCGTGTCTGAAGGTCCTCCAAGGGCCTTACTTCCCAAAATACTGGTGTTAGGACTTATTCAAGCTTCAGCCATAACAAATTTCACCCACATTTTTAAAGTTAGTCATGTTTGTTTCCAAGTTTTATAAAAATTGCTTGCATAAATTATGCAAATCAGAATAGTTAATTTGAATAAATGTTGAGAGTTCAGTTTGATTCATAAATATTATGTTAGTTCATTCAATTTCCTACACAAATATATATAGTTTTGTAAATGTTAATTACACGCTTTTTATTTTATAATTATTTGTGTATAAACTATGAGAATCCCCTTATGAAGGCTTTGTCTTATTGACACCGAAACTCCAAAAAGGCTCTGTCTCCAAAGGGTTAAGCTTGTTTTTGTTTCATTAGGTAAAGGATTATTGAGAACATTCTTTTAGTGGAGATCTTCATTTCTCTTATGATTTGTCAAAATTAGGGTAGAGATCAGAATGCATACAGCTTGGGGCTGACTCCTACAGGTATCTTGGTCTTTGAGGGAGCCCAGAAAATTGGTCTCTTTTTCTGGTAAGTCTTAGTGTTGTCATCACAAAAATGTATATTCCAGTTGTTAAAGACACGTCATGATGTCCAACAATTTATTTTAGTGTTTGTGTATGAAGGAAAGTGAATGAACAACCACACTTTAGTTTTATAGGGTCACAGTTAGACACACAAGCCCCAACTTACATTCAGCCCTTCCAAATGCTTGTCTTCCATACATAAATTGTATAATTTAAATTTTAAACAAATATATGTAATGCATGTTTTTTTTAGTGTTATGTTGAGTGAGTAAATGAGAGAAAGAGAGACAGAGTATTCTATAATTCAATTACAGTTGCATGTTTTAGTTATTGTGTTTGTTATGTCTGTTTTAACTGTTTCTCTCTTCTCTCTCTCTCTCTCCCCTCCCCCCCCCCCCCCAACCCATTTGGGGAAATTCAATGAGCACCGTATGTGCCGTTTAAAAAAAAATCTCCCTTTACTACCCCTTGGGCCTCTGATGCTAAACCTGCTGGGACTGAAAGGGTCAAGGCACTTGTGACAGCCATACCAGTTAGTAGGCATAACCTGTAGTTTTGGGTTCTGAAAGTCTTTGGATTCTGTTAATTTTGTATTTTAAGTTTAATTTTTAATGAATTTTGCCAAATTACCTGTTTTATTTAGAAATTTCCCATTTACTGTTGTATTTAGGAGCAGTTAGCTTGATGGTAATCTGAAATAATTGAATGCTTCCCATTTGAAATTCATTCAAAAGTTTGGATTATTTCAGTAGGAAGGAAATCTGGGTCAGCAAACATAGTGTGCTGGATGTCTTTTTCTTATTAAAATTAACTGGCTGTAAATTCCACTGAAAAGTTCTGCCCTTTTTCTCTCTCTTCAGTTGTGGACTTTTGTCTGGTTCTAGGACTTGATCGTTGCATGCATATCCGTTTTACAGATTTGGCTTACTACTGTCCAGACTGTTGATTCTTCGCCTTTCAGGCAGATGCAGTCTGACTTCAGAGGAGACTTTTACTATAGCACTTGATCGTTGCATGCATATCCGTTTTACAGATTTGGCTTACTCATGTCCAGACTGTTGATTCTCCGCCTTTCAGGCAGATGCAGTCTGACTTCAGAGGAGACTTTTACTATAGCACTTGATCGTTGCATGCATATCCGTCTCATAGATTTGGCATTCTTGTGTCTAGATTGTTGATTCCCCATCTCTCAGGCAGATGCACTCTTACTTCAGAGGAAATGATCAAATCTAAGTTGGCCAGACCTCTGTTTGGGAACCTCTTTCTGGGATGACTACAGAGAAGGGCAGACCTGGTCCTTGTGCACCAGCAGTGTGTTGTTCAGAACCTCTGCACCCTGGCTTGAAGTAATTTAGTATTGTCACATTTACAGCCTCTTTGTCTGCCACACATACTTTCTCTAACACCCCCCCCCCTTCCCCTCCCACCCCCTTTTCAGTTCATAAAGCTGAATCTGCCTGGCCTGCAGATGCTGCACCACCAGTGCTGTTGACATTATTTTTGTTTTTTTACTTGCCCTGATAAGTTTCTTAGAATGAATAATATGGTTTCTCCTTGCCTTCCACATATGGCTTTTGACCATGACCTCATGCTTTAGTAAGCTTTTAAATTGCTAGTGTGAGTATTTAAACATGATGTATTCTTTCTACATTTGAAGATGGTTGGATGCAGTCTGGCATTTCATCCGTTTTAATGTTACTGATCTTTTCATTTTGGAAAATTTTGGTTATTATAAGTATTTCCATAAAAATTTATTTTTAGGCCAAAAATGACGAAGTTGGATTTCAAGGGCAAGAAACTTATGTTAGTTGCTGTTGAAGATGATGATAACGTAAGTGTATACTCTGTTGTGACATGTGTATGTGATTATTGTTGTTTTGTCTGTAAATGTTTGATTAACGTTAGAAGATTCTCTACTAGCTGTGGTCAGGCAAATAAGTACATTGTGCTTGTGTGTATCTGTATGTTTGGAGAGAGGGAGATGGAGAGAACAAGACAACAAGATGTACACACACCAGGAGTATGCAGCTGCATAGCATGTTGTCCTTCATACCCCTCTAGCAAAAGATATTTGATCCTTTTATCTTCTTTTTCTTAACATTCAGCAGCTGTAAACTCTGGTGGAAAGTCCTGGCTGGTCTTTCATCTTGTTTCAGAACTTCAGTTTTGCATGCACATCTATTTTACAGATGTGACTTCTTAAATGTTGTTGTTTCCTCACCTCTTAGGTGAGGTCCGGGAAAGCACATGGGGAGATCTGTTTGACTAGCCTTCTAATAGATGTATTCCTTTCATTTTGCTCCCTCTCCCCCCCCCCCCCCCCTTTTCTGCCCTTTTTTGGGTAAGGAATGGTATTATGGGGTAATACTTCATTATTGTGCACTGACCTAGTATAAATAAACTATGAGTTTTGTTTTTGAAACCCTGTTGATCTGAAAGGTTGGTTTAAAAAAAAAAAAATTTGCCTAGGCTTCCAGCTCGACTTAGCCTAAAGTAGGTATTAGGAAGTAATCTTGGAAGTAAGGCTGTCTGGTATAATATTGAACACACTTCCTATAAATGACTAATTGGTCTATGAAACATTGGATTAGCGCCCTATACCCATCATGTCTCAGTTAAAGAAGAAAAAGTCCCCTAGTGTACTATGGACCAGGATG